CAAAAAGCCTCGTTATCCTCGAATACCGACGGCAAGTTAGAGGGGGGGGGGGGGGGAGGGGGTGCTCTTGTGGTTTGCATGCGTTAGTGGTGGGACCATTGACCGCGTGTACTCGAGAGGACGGTGAGTTGTTCCCACAGGACCGATCACCGATGGTCAATCGTTCTTTCCTACTTTGCCAAAGGTGGCTCATGAAGTGGGCGTTAGGTGATTTGACCACGAGAGGATGGAGCCATTGTTCTCCCACAGGAGCAGGGGGGGGGTAGTCATGTAGACGCATGCCGTATTTGTTACAACCATTGACCTTGCATCGCCGGGACGGAGCCGATATTTGGGTTTTCGCCAGCCCAGGCTACGGCAGACGGGGTGGGGCGTATTCTCCTCTTGAAAGAGCGGTGTGGAGAAGGGTGGCGTTTTTTGGCTGTTCATGTATGCTTTGATTGCGGTGGTGCTGTCGTGGTGGTGATACTTCGCCGAGGGGGTATTGTAGCGAAGACCCCGGGGCTAGCTTGCGGTTTGGCATCGATAGCCGTTTCAGGCCACGCGGCATGCTCATGTTGTTTGTTTTTTTTCGTTTATTTCGTTTTTTCGTTTTCGCTGGCACATGCACGGTAGCTTCTTTTCGTCAAGTTGAAAATCCGTGGTTTTATCATGAACCTCGCTTCGCACATGCACTCACATTTTCGCGTATCCAAATCGCTGCTGCTTGTGTTTTTACTTTCGCACGTCAACCCACTGCCGCTACTGCTGTCATTTTCGCAAATTCACATCGCTGCTACTGCTGTTACTCCAGCACGTCCACTAACTGCTGCTGCTGCTGCTGCCTCGACTTACGCACATCCGCTGCAAAGGTGCCGGGCGCTAGTGCGCTATCTCGCGACGGCACCGGAGAGTATGGCGTTCCGCAGGCCCGTGGACACAACCGTTTTCACCGATTACCACAAGTTCGTGGAAGACCCGTGCGACCTCCGCACCATCGACAGGCGCCTGGAGGCTAGCGAGTAAGTGTTTGTTGTTGCTGCTGCTGCTGCCGCTGCTGCTGCTGCTTTTTTTGTTGTGAGGGGCGTTACGCCGTTGTTGCTGTAGCTGACACAGCAGTAGTTGCAGATCTTGAGCCGAGTTGAAGGTATCTGACGCAGACGCCACTCTCAAAACACACATTCGTGCCACACAGGTACGGGCAGAGCGTGGTGCGCTTCGCCAACGACGTGAGATTGGTGTGGCGAAACGGCAAGCGGTACAACAAGGAGGGTTCCGAGGTGTGGAGCGCAGCGGACAAGCTAGCCAAGGCGTTCGACGTTCTCCTGGAGAAATGGGTCATGGGCCCGTGGCGGGCGAAGAGGTGAGGGGCTCCGCAGTTTGTTTCGACTCCCCCCACACCCTCAGCAGGATGCAGTGCGCCCTCGCCGAATACCTAACGGCAATTCGCGCTTGGTGATGTGCGAGCCTGGTCCGGTGAGAACCCGGCGTGCTCGGATGCGAGGTCAATGGGCTAATGACTACGGCATGCACGACCATGAGTACCCCCCGCGCGCAAGATCGTAGCAGCTGCCGCAATTGGTCGATACTCAACCTTCAATGGTATGTTTTTATGATATACAGCGAGGCATCAATTATTCCACCACGTTTAAATAGACAAACGACAGACATCACCTTCCACAGACGTGAACGATTAATGCAGTGTCGAAAACCACACTTTGTCTTTTTTGTAAAAACCGAAAACCGCACATATTTTTGGTTCACATTTACCGAATAATGCCACAGGCCGAAAGAGGACAGCAAGGGCAAGAGGAAGGCCGAAGAAGAGGACGGTGTTCCCGAGGAGCTCTTGGCCGCCCTTAACTTCGCCGATCTGGAGGGATCGGTGCCGCCTTGGGCAGCGGGGGGAAAGAACTGGGACCCGGAGAACGGGGGCCTCACGGAGCGGCACATTCAGGTCCGAGCGGTAGAGGGGGGCTCCGAGGCACGGTGCTTGCGGCGGTGCCGTGTGTCGGGTTACTGTTTTTGTTGTGGTTGTTGTTGTTGTTGTGATTGATTTCAGGTGTTGGTGTTGGTAATATTGTCGTTGCTGTTGTTGTCATTGGTGGTGCTGTTGGTGTTGGTGTCAAGTGTTCGTATTGTCGTGGTAGCTGCGTGCTGCCTCTATTTCCAGTGCCGATGGTGGCCAGCAGAGCGGCGTCCTAACCCCCGACTCTCCTCAATTTCAATGTTTTCAGACGTTGCTCGCTAGGGTGCCCTGGTCCGAGGGCTGCGCGCTGTGTGGCCGCGACGATAGCCCAGACAAGACGTTGATCTGCGACCGCTGCGACCGAGAGATCCACATGTTCTGCCTCGAGCCCAAGCTCAAGAAGGTACTTATTCTCTCTTACGTGCTGGCGATTTTGATGTCGAACCTGAAATTTTGGGCCTGACGTCTAGCATCGAAATTCTACGGCATTCATGATCATGAGCCCCCCCCCCGCCGCTGAACCCAGTTTTGGCACTATCATTCTTAAAAGTATTGATTTCGAACCTAAGTTTCTGGGCCTGACCTCTATTAGCATCGAATTTCTACGGCATGCATGGTCATGATCCCCTCCCCCCCCCAC